TCCCCACAGTCATGAGAGGCCAGGTGAGGAGATGCATGCCTTGATGTGAGTGATGTTGACTTGACCACACCCAGCCAGTCACATGACCATCAAGCCATGCCCACCAACTAAGCCATGCCCACAGAACCAATTGTTAAAAAAATTGAATCCCACTCCTGGAGTAGACCATGTTTACCCTGATCCTCTCCTCCCTGCGTGCTCTAGGATGGATAAGAGATGGGCCTGGGTCCTCCACTGACTGCTCAGAGTCAGTCTCCAACAGGGACATGACATCTTCATTATTTCTTTTCGCAACTGAGGACTATATTCAATTCCACATTAAAACATTCAAATTATCATTCTGTTTTTCTGTTTTATTTCAGCTTGGTACAGCTTGCAAAACTGTTTGAAAAAGTTTCCTAAAATTATGGAACAGATCTTGAAAATGCTTATCATTTAAAAGAAAGAACCCACCAACAATGTCTTGCTATGATAACCCAAAACAATCTGATAAAAGCCTGAATATTCATGCTTAAAGTAAATATTTGGATGGATGGATGTAGTATATATGCATGCATGCATGCCTGGGTGTATGTGTATGTATAGTACTATGCCCCACACTAGATATTCCCACACCCATTAATGAAATTCCAGGACAGAATTCACTTTCTTCAAGGAGAAAAAAATCTACTTTCTTTTTGCATAAATCTACTTTCTTTTTGTTCAACTTTCCATTTGTAAGGATGAATTGATATCTGGATACATTTTCTATTCTTTTTTGTTTCTATGTACAAGTATAATCAAAGCCAATTATCTGGTTCTTTATGAGGTTTTTTAGTTTTTAAATATCCCTTGTATATATGATACACAAACACAATTTATAGCTGACATGTTCACTACTACAAAGTCCTTTTTCCCTGTAAAACTTTAACAGGTAAGAAATAATGTTATAAAGATGTAAGTAACAGTATGCCCTTTGTTATTCGCTCACTAGATTCTTGTCTGTCTCTGTCATATTCACAAGATCATACTGCAGAAAATATTATTTTAAAAAAATAAACAATGAGCCTTTTGCTTCTCTTCAAGCTTCAAAAGAAAAATATCTAAAAAAATTAAATATTGTTCTTGGATTTAAGTATCCTATTTCTGATAGTAAACAAGACAGAAATAGAGCAAGGAGACAAACATTTCAAGCTATTTTCTAAAGCGCCTGTAGGCCAGACAAGGAACAATGGATGGAAACTGAACAAGGAGAGATTTAACCTGGAAACAAGGAGAAACTTTCTGACAGTGAGAACAATCAACCAATGGAACAGCTTGCCCTCGGAAGTTGTGGGAGCGCCATCAGTTGAGACTTTCAAGAAGAGATTGGACTGCCATTTGTCAGAAATGGTGTAGGGTCTCCTGCTTGGGCGGGGGGTGGTGGACTAGATGACCTACAAGGTCCCTTCCAACTCTGATTATCTGTTATCTGTTTAAGAGTCTCAGGGAAGAGTCCTAGTAACTTAGAACTGAATTAAAAGTCAGTAAATATCTTTATTCTACTCTGAATCTTGTAACCACTTCCCAAATCTCTTCCAAAATTAAACCTATTAGGAAGTAAGCAACTCAAGGGAGACTTCTCCTTTAAACAGTGAAATATCAAATGATATACAGATACACTATGTCAGTAAATTTTTTGCAACTGAATCAAGAAATACATTTTGCATAAGTTCCTAATCCATATATTTTTCATTGTTTTGCTATTGCCAATCAAAGAAAATTGAACATCTGTCAGAAAACCAAATACTTTAAATATGTAAATATTATTACTTTCTACTTAATCGAATTTGTCCTTAAAATATGGTAAATTCATTTTGAATTTCCCTAAAGTCATTTGAAAGTCAAAGTCATTTTTTTTAGCAATTTCTATATGTCAATTTTTTAAAAAGGGACTGGAAGAAAACATGCTGTACTAAATTTTACTTCTTTTTCACTACATCATAGGTAATTTAACCTAAATGCAACTCACAGAATACATATTCATGTAAATACTATGACTAAAGCATTTTGTCTCTCTCCTGCAACCCCATGTGATTATTGTATACAGCTATTTGCACAGGGGTGGGATTCGACCGGTGTAACTACCAGTTCGGTGATTTTACATTTTGCGTGTGTGTATATCATCGACATCTAGCTGCTTGACAGCTGAGCAGCGCTGTGCACGGGTGTGCAGTGATTGAAAAAGCACTTTTTTCCTGCTTTTTCAACCACAGCTGCGGTTGAAAATGCAGGAAATAAAGGTCTGGTAGGAGCCCAGGTGGGCGGGCGGGCCAAAACAGCAGCAGACATAGAACCGGTTCTATGTATGCTCTCTGTTTGCTGCTTTTCAGAGCAACCGGTTCTACAGAAGTGGACAGAACTGGTAGAATCCCACCCCTGTACTTACACCAGGTAGTAACCAATATTACCACTCTCTGACATAGTAGAAAAAATTGTTCCTGTCTTTTCCCGCTTCTAAAAACTGTCAGATCTCAGAAGGTCTCCACTGTTAGTAACTTGGACTCCTTGACTGCTTAAACAATTAGCTGTGTTGATTTGTGAATTTTCAATTTCATTTTTATTGTATTTCATGTAATAAATTGCCATAGGACAGTTTTCCCACTGGGAAGACATAAGTGTATACATGAGTGTTATCTGATATAAAGAGACAATTTTATTTCAAATTATAATGCATACATATGTGGCTATTTTATTTAGACAATCTGGGAGGCAAATGTTTTCTTCTCTCAGAAAAGATGAACAGATGTGTTTTTATCATATGACAAATCATAGAAAAGATTAGCATCTGTAAAAACCATAATGATGAAGAGCATCAAGTGGTGGAATGGAGGGAAGAGAACAGATTGAAAATACTGAACATATCCAGAGTCCTTAACATAAATTTAGATGTTGAGTAACAATTAAGTAAAGTCAGTATATAAAGTATGTATCATTTATAAGAATCTCTGAAAGAATAATTTCTGAAAGAAGCTACTTTATTCTCAGTTTAATTTTTGAATTTCACCTCTCACAAAGTTACAAATATTTACTTTTTCAGCCTGTTGCATACATAATTAATCACCACCTTGGCATAACTGTAGATATGAACACTTGTAAAATTATCTGCATATCTCACTATTCAAAATCTGAGACTTAAATATCTGGAAATTTATGTGTAAAAATTGGCTTTCTTACTGATAAGGCAATATTCTCACTGTCTATTCTTTTCCTATAAATGACGATGTAGTATCTACTGATATAATTCTATTTCTATAGAAATCAATTGTATAGAAATCAATAAAAGCCCTGCACCATTATCTCCAGACAAGCACGTTTCACACAGGAAAACAACTGTTGCAAATTCAGTACATATAACCAGGGGCTTCAAAATTGGATAAAATGATAAGACAGCATTTTTATAACAACACTTCACTTTCTTAATGACTTGGAGAGCATATGTGTTGCAACAAGGTAATAGTTTGCCATATAAAGTAACAACATACATGTAGCCAGTAAAGGAAAAATGTCATGTTATTCTTTCCTTTGAAATTAAAACACTGTAACTTTTAATCACTGCCATCTGTCTTGTGAGGCAGGTTCTACAATATGGTAGCTAATAATCTTTTTTTCTTTAATGATTACCATCTTTTTATTCTTTATTCTTATTCCAAAACAATCCTAATGTATTTCTGACTACCTTTTTCCATTATGCATTTGTGTGTGTGTGTGTGTGTGTGTGTGTGTGTGTGTGTGTGTGTGTGT